TGAAGTGATTTAAACTTTGTTTTAAAGAAATTAAAATCGACTATAATTCTTATATTAAAAAGAATTTTGCCTATTTCATTGTTAGGAAATTCTCATCAGACCTTCATCTCATCAGAATTAGGGTGAATATACCTTTATATGACTGTATTGTTGTGCTTGTATGTGTATGTATGCAAAATCGTCAGTGATAACTCCAAGCAATTGGGCTACTCATTAAGTTGGTGTATTAATTAACTCCAGCTCTGACGAGGTCTGCCAAATTGCATAAAAGACGAAGTTTCAATAGCTTTATTCGTTTTGAGTACAATTATGAGACTATCCGTAAACCGTTTGCCAGCGCACACATCTCATCTTAAGCGACCTAGACTGACTAACGTTCTTTTTCAGGATATATTGATAGTCTCAAAATGTGTAAAATTTGCTGAAAAATGGTCTGTTTTGTAACTTGGCCGACCTCGTCAGAGCTGGAAGACATCAAAAAAAGGATTTTATGAGATATAAATAAGCCCTTACATTGAATATTTTAATAAATTGGAGCTATCACTGACGATTTGGCACACTTGCACAAACAAGCACAACAAAAAGAGCCATAAAAAGCTGTATTCACCCCAATTCAATTGTAATTCAGGACTGATGATAAATTTCCTCACAATGAGCAGATTGGGTCCAACAACATCAACCAATTTCCCATAGCCAAGAATGCTAGTTCCAAGACCGATTTAATTTTAATCTAGGAAGCATAGTCGATTGTAATACCAAATACAGGTACAGGTCATTATTTACTACTCAATTCATTTTTATTTTGCCTGCCTTATTTCAATTATAACTCATTTATTTGTCTCCTCTCTACTTATTCCACTCCCTGCGCCAATTTCTATTGTACTCCCCTATTTTCCGTTGACACTATTCTATTCAGGAAAGTTCAATTTTTAATAGAAAATTTATCGAATTTGCTCGAATCACTTTGAGTTTTTCTGAATGAAACTAACTTATTGAAGCACACCTAATTACTTATTCTTCGTTTATAAATAGGTTGTCGAGACTACCAGTACATCATATGTATGAGGTGATTTCACCCTATTTCGGTTGAGGTGATGAGGGGAAATAGGGTGAATACACCCCATATAATTATTCACTAATCGAGGACTGTACTCACGCCATATCGCATAAGTTCATGTAGCATTTGTAGTCAATTTTACTCAACTCACGCAACACCACTCGGAGAACGACTCATCTGGATTATCTCCCGTGGAGACTAAACGAGCCTAGCCATCGCATCAAGCCTCCCACTTGAACTAATCACAACATGACATTCAAAGTTGTCGGGAGTATTTTTAATCTCATTGCCGATTCCTTGCGAGTCGTTGTGCCTGAACACCGACAGATCACTTCAGCATCGTCTTTGCTTTTGCTTAAACTCCGAATCCCCGCCTGTAGGTTTTGTTGTTTTAAACAAGTGGTACTCCATGTCTTGTTTTTCTGTAAAATATTTTGTAGAGCAGCGCGAAGCCTGAGCACATGTTTAGAGATCTCCACAGAGTAAGTGTTGAAGTTTCCGTACACCAGAAGAGACAAGAAGACAAAATTAAGCATACCATTACATGATGTAACTGTATAAAAAAATGATTTCCCGAGTGTATGCATAACGAGATGCGAAGAGAAGCTGAGCCCCGAAAGATCACTATAGTAAGTTGATATCGGCACATCTTTCATTTCGTTTGAGCAGGCGAGTGGAAGAGATTCGTAAATTTGCTTCATCGGATACCGAAGCAGAGTTGCCTTGGACTTTTGTCCGTTGAATTGTACCAAGAAGACCTCAGCACACCGTCCTGCGACCCCGATTATTCCCTGCCCAGCTTTCTTCCGTCACGTCACGGACGTCGTCAGCGCCAGAAACCATTATTCACAAAAAATCAACAAAAAAGACAAAATCAAGAAAGTGGTCGGTTGAGACCCTACTTACTTACCATACCTCATCTCGATTAAGGTCACTGTCCACATATTTTGCTTTAGTGTCTTTTGCTGATTGTTTGTGAATACCGGTTTCTGGCTCTGACGATGTTCGTCACACAACGGACGAAATCTCAGCACAGAGTCATCGGGGTCTTGGGACAGTGCGGCGAAGTCTTCTTCGCACAACGGCACAGACAATAGTCCAAGACAACCCTTCTTCTGTATCCGGTGCGGCTAATCTACGAATCCCTTCCACCGGCCTTCTCAAAACGAAATAAACAATGTGCTGGTGTCAATCTACTACAGAGATTTTTAGAAACCCACCTCCTCTTCACACATCGTTGCATATGTACTGTCAAGCATTCATTTTTTCACAATATTTACAGCATGTCGCTTCAATCATTGCCATTCGAACGCGCCCCTTCTTTGTGGCGGCCTGTCGAGTGAACTGACGTACACAGGCCCAGCACATCTTGTTGTGAAAACTTTACTTTCATATGAATGTGTGCCTGAAGACGAAATTCGTTTGTCAATCTCACCAGAAGTCCGTCCGTAAGCTTTAGCACGACGTTCAGTTTGACGCAGTCCACGAGACATCCTCCAACGTTTCGGGCGAAAACGGTCTGCGCTTCCGTTCGTCGTGCCACATGATAGACATCGCCAGAGCTGGGACTTATTCTTGCAAGAGCCTCAAGTTAACACAAAGTCAAGAAGACTGACCGGCTTTTTCCTATATGATATATATCCATATATATATCATATATATATATATATATATATATATATAAAGTGCCATCAAAGGCTTGAGACAATGTAAGAAATAACGCTTCGAGAAGTACAGGTAGGGTGGCAGAGGTCGAGTGAACCACCTGAATCAGAAAGATAGAAGTCGGGTCCTACGGGGCAAGAGGGAGACTCTGATAAGAGCTATGCGAAGAGAATTGCTGATGAGGGGGTGAGAAAGCCAGTGTGGGGTGTGGAGAGTTCCCGTGAAATCCGTTAAAAAGTGAGCACCAAAACACACTTAAACAAGCAAGTAAAATTGTGATGGTAAGGGCGTGATACGAGGATATAGGATTGAAGAATAGTCCATGGCAGAAGAAGAGATACCACAATTGTTTAGCAGACAATTGGTCAAATGATCGGCCTCACTAGTCATTGACGATGTCGGAGAAACGTCTTGGAATGTACCACGTCCACGATCCAACTCTGGAAGTTATCATGCATACTATGGACTCGGGCTAGGTGCCTTCCTCTAAATATTTCTACTACTAATATCTATGTTTTTATGTTATATATGCTATATCTATCTAGCTATGTCATATATATGTAAGCATCACTG